ACACACTTTCCGGTGCTGGACACATTCTTCAATGGAAGTACCCGTTACACAACCGAAAACACGCTCTCTAACTACCTCGTTAAGGATTCACCAACACCAACCCACACGGTTGTCGAACACCTGAAGACGTCTCAGGTCCGCTGCTCGAATAGGCCAAGTCTCACAACCATACAAGACAGCCCTTACTGTAACTTGATACATACGTCCCTTCAGATTCAGGGACAAACCATTCTGACGCCATAGATGTCTCAAATTAGCAAACGCGGCCCGAGCCTTGCAGATTCGTGCATTCACCTCATCTGTCACACTACAATCAGAACTAATACAACTTCCATGACACGTAAGACGCTCCACAACTTCCAGTACCTCTCCCTGGATTGTAAGTGGCGTGTTCAGTGACTGCACCTCCACAAGCATGACCTTACACTTTATGGGTGCAAAATGCATACCAAAGGACGGGATGACTTTGGTCAGTTCATCCAAGAATACTTGCGCCTTCTCCTCCTCTTCGAACACGAGAACGATGTCGTCTGCATATTCCAGATCGACAAGATTTTCTCACAAGCTATTTGAACACCAGGGTTTTTTTCAGACTCTCCAGCGTTCGTTTCATTATTTCATCGATCACGAAGTTAAAAAGGAATGGAGAAAGTGGTCATCCCTGACGGACACCGCTTTGTGTACGGAAGCTTGTGGAGAGCTCTCCATACACGCCCACACGTCCGGAAGTCTGAGAATACAAAGAAGGCATTGTGTTTACAAGCTTTCCGGGGCATTCCTTGGAGGGCAAGCGTCCTACCTGCTCCCATTCTTGTTTATTCTTCTACTCAGAAATTGTCCTGAGCCATTATTGTAAACCGTCTTTTGAAGTAATTAGACAGGACATTCAGAGACGCGGTTCTAGGAGTTGGACGCACTCTTGAAAGCAACAGACGTTTGCCGCACTCCCGAAATTGAAATAATGTCCATCTGCACTCACGCCTGTCATACATCGCACGTTATGGGCCAAGGGGAAGAGTACTTGCGACACTGCAATACATCCTTTCAGCAGTATTGTATGTAGTATGAATGCAATTAAGGTTTTACTACAAAGTATAGCCGCAGGAATTTCCAAATGAGATCGCATCAAAGGGTCAACTGCTTTGCAACGGCTTTTCCGCCGTTAGCCACGACAGAGGGTACGCTAACCAGTGGTTTTTTTCACTGGATTACTTAAATCAGACAATGGGGACTGCAACTCCCTAGAGCATACATGCGAGCGTGGGACTTTTGCAACGGTTCACGATATGCCACATCGGTTTAACTGGCATGAGTTCGATAGTCTTCGTACCAGCTGGCTTTATTCCCATTGGGGTGTTTAATTTTCGGAGCTTTTGTTTTGCTTGATAATTAAGCCTCTTGATTGTTCATTTTAAATAGCTTGCTTTGTTTTCAGTAGTCTGATTCAAATCAGCCATTTGGTATTCTGAAACGCCATATCGAGACAGTGGTGTTGCCATCTTTGATACGTATATCGCTGTGTTATTAGTATGGTCGATTCTCCATTTGCTATCAGGTGGTATGACTTAGGTGCGACTCAAACCTTTTACTTCGTATTTTGTGGAGGATCTACAAGACGTATGCAAACATACCATATCCGTCATGTCAAGACGCTCCGCCATTCTTGAGATATCTCGACAAAGTTATTGAGATGGTGCCACTGGAGTTCTGATGTCTTGACCAAAATTCCAGTGAATCGATGCGAAGTTGAGAGCTATGCAACTCATCGGGTTTCATTCTAAAGGTTGCATATCCCTTCAGGCGCCTCATTTTAGCATCGAATCACCTTCGAATCTTGCTCGAGACCATTACAATCGGGTTAGTCGAAATATTCCAGGACGCCTTAACGTCATAAGGATTGAGGTGTGTCTCTATACCGGAAACAATTACACCACAGAAAGAACCCGATGCCCAAATCTTCTCAACCTAGGGTCTCGTAAGATGGAGGGGCTTTGTAACTGTGTAACTGCAGTTACCCCTCGTCGCGCGTTTCTAGCTCATTTATCAATGACACCACGTTCCACCTTTACCCTGCTTTAGGTCTGGGACTACGAATCTGGAGAGTTTGAGCACACCCTGAAGGGACATACTGACTCAGTGCAGGATGTCGCGTTCGATCCATCTGGCAAACTACTCGCTTCTTGTTCAGCCGATATGCAAGTCAAGCTATGGGATTTCACTCTTTATCAATGTGTGAAGACTTTAGCAGGACACGACCACAATGTATCCAGTGTCGCCTTCTTACCCTCCGGTGACTTTTTGGTCAGCGCTAGTCGTGACAAAACCATAAAGATGTGGGAAGTTGCATCCGGGTAAGTATAGATTCCTACTCTCCTGCTGAGGCCCATCAGCTTCAAATATTTACTTTTTTTCACTTAGTGCAGGAAGTCTCCGGTATCCCAGTTGTCTTTCCTTGGATGAAGTCAACGGCGCAGGTTTCCGCTTGGTTTTAGCTCGGTTACTTCTTATTTACTTTTGCCGTTTTGACTAATTCCTGATGTGCACTGTCTCCCAAGGGTTATCAGTACGGGCTTTCTTGCACGATTTGAAAAAAAAACTCACTGTCCGTGAGATTCTCATGGTACATTCAGTTTTATCCATCGTGATACATTGAAATACAGAGCCATCGATTGAGAGGTGTTTTTCAGAAATAATGCCAGAGATATCGTTTCCAGAAAAATACCTGCTTGATATTGACCCTCCAGTTAGTTGACTGCAGTAGGGTGAAGTTGTTCCACGGTGAGTAATTTTTATCCAGCCTTTTGGATTTTTCAGTTTTTCACTGCACTCTACTGTTTTGTATGATTCTTTACTAATCAGACTTTTAGAGGTCTACTTGGGTTGGATGTTGGTATGCTTTTTATTGTCCCGGCAACAGCTCCCATTCGTGGTGATATTTAAACAGAGATCGGAAAGTATCACTAGATGGTTTCAATGTGTTAGCGTCTTCTACAATTTGCCACTCTTCCTCCAAACGACCCTCCTCATCATTACTTTGATTCATTCTCAACGGTTCTCGGGTCAGTTCGGCCCAATCTTGTTATTCTGTTATGGTTTGTGGAATTTGATCGAATTACTGAATCGTCGTCGGCCTACGTAATTCCATCTTGATGCAGATGGATACGCGGTCCTCTGCTCAGGATGGTCGGAGTCAACAAGCATGGTCCACTCCTAAGAAACGATGGCCTTTTATTGAATATTCTCATCTGTTGCGATTTGATTCATCAGCTGCAGTGGTCGGCTAACCTGTGACGTGACGCACTGAGGGCCTTTTTGCAAAAATTCCCTATTGGCTAGGGTTTAAAGCATGATCATCGCGTGACTGAGAAATCCACTCTCCAGTGTCTGTTTGGTGACACGTACTTCAAAATTCTCATGAAATGCCAAAATCACCATTCTGGGTTCTTGTTTACCGTGTCAAATGTAGCGAACCGTGACAGAAACTCCCGAAGCTTTAAGGTTATAGCTTATCGGAGGCTATGGTAACTGCAATGACCAGTACCTCTGTACACATGCATGTGATTCATGTTGGGAAAACTGAATTGATTAATCATCGCTGTCTCCCTGGTTCGGACAGGGACACATTAATTTTCAGAAACATTATGGGGACGAGGTGGACCAAGTGGTTAGAGCGCGAATTTACCGATCGGGAGGTCCATGCTTCAAACCCAACCTTTGCCTCTCAACTTCCCCTGTCTAGGGTTGAGCAACCTGGCAGTATTCCAGCCCTCGTGCAACTTTCGGGTGGCGTGGCAGCTAGGCCCTGAAAGGGTGCTACAGCTGGACATCACTGACAGCAATACCATGGAGGAATAATGCTGCTTCACCTTCATGCAACTACGTCAATTTATTTGAATATAAGGCTTTGTATTGAAAGTAAGTGGTACAGAGTGGGGGCCTAAGAACCAGATTACCACAAACATCCGAGATGAGTACGCTTTGAAAGGTAGAAACCAACAGCATGATAGCCTGTGAAATCGGTTGGCTACCGCATTTTTCGGTGTTTCCAGCCGGTCGCTTGGAGGTTCACACGGGTCTCATCTTGGAGGGCGAACGATGCCGAAACTTTTCGTAACATTATTCACTCTCATTTGAGATTTCATGGGAGCCATTTGGAGACCTCAAACTTCATCACTTACAATAAATCAGTAGTTAGGGAAACAGGACGATAACTATTGGGTTTGGATAAGTCCCCTTGCTTGTGAATTTGGAGAATATGAGGACTTGTTCCATGTGGCAAAAAATACATAAGTGGTGTCAAGTATGATTAGGTATGTTACCGTGGCCAGGAGCTTTATGGCACCTATGGAAGGGAATTTTTTTATCGCATTGTTTTATGCATAGCGCGCCGAGTTGCTGTTTAGACTGCTTTCCTTGGTAAACGCTTCAAGCTTTTTGTCAGTGCTTGAACTAACCATCTATCCGCCTGTCTAAACAGTTTAGGAGCTCACTTTCGTTAGAGCCTATGGATTTGTTGACAGAAGTTTGCTCTGCATCGGGTTTTGCAAAAGCTCCCGAATTTAAGTAAGGGATCCATACTGTTTACTTTTAGGTATGTTCCGCAAGTTGGTGCTATGCCGTAAACGACAACCCAAGGATAATGAGGAAGTATGTATGGTGCACCAATGGGTTCGTGAGGCAAAGGTCTTGTTTGATGGAATCAAGTTAGCCATCCGAGTATTAGCTTGACTGGTAAGACATTAGAGGCGAGATGGCCCAAGTGGTTAGAGCGCGAATTTACCGCCGGAAGGCCTTCCCTAAAGTACACAGGGTTGCTGTGTCCCCGCGTCCAGTTCTGGATATGTGGAATTCACCGTATCTCAGCACTGTCAAGTGACCGCGTGGAGTGCTAGAGTCGATCTCACAGTGAGAGATGGTTTTTGATTTCATCGGTAGTAGTTTTAAACAAAAAGTGTTAGTTACTTTCATTGATTGGGGGGAGATGGCCCAAGTGGTTAGAGAGCGAATTTACTGACCGGAAGGTCCGTGGTTCGAACCCGACTTCTGCCTCTCCACTTCCCCTGTCTAGGTTTGGGTAACCCGGCAGTATGCCAACCCTCGTGCAACCCTCGGCTGGCATGACAGCTAGGCATCGAGTGTCGCAGCCGAACAGTTTTTTTAGTAGGGCATTGTCTGTCTGATATGGTTGCGTTTCATATCTTGTCTGAAGTTTCCTCGCTTCAGGGCTTTTCGCCAACCCAAACTTGATCCGCAAGGCAGAAGGGTGCCTCACGCAGATCAGCTGGTAAGCGGAAATGAGATGATAATCGCCAACTTCATGATGAGCGATCCTTCCTGTCCACTGTTCGCGGGCTTACTTGAGTAAACTTTTCGGGAGAAGGTAACTTGCCCAGCTCGAAACGGCAAAGAGAGAAGAAGGGTACGACTATCATAAGGAATTCAGTCACAGATAATGTCAATTTGTCTTCGAAACTCCTCACATCTCAAGTGTAGGCCGCATTCTAGCCACAATTGCTAGCCCCCATTGGTGGACGAGTAGTTACACGCTTGGAAGATAAGGGATGGGATGGAAACGCAGCAATCAGAAAAACCAGGAGGAACGGTACAGAACACTAAGATGGGGTGGATTTGAGGTAAGAAAGAGGTCGAGGTCAAATGAATCCACTGAGTATGTCAGGAACAGGGGTTGAAAATTGGGTATGCTTGGTAAGGTGATGGAGTGTGGAAGGAAGCCCCTACTTTACCGCTGCCTGATGAAGAATGATGTCAATCGCCAAGAGTGAGAAAAAGGTGGATTTTTCAATGGTTTTGTGTAATGGCTGACAACACAACGATTCATACCATCAAGACTGGATTCATTCAGTCTGTACAAGATACGTGCGTAAACGCTGGTTATCGTTCAAGGTAGATACCATGCGACGCATTTTTGTCTCATTCTTTTGAAATAAATTTTTGCTGAAGAGTGGAAAGGATTGACAACTTGCTAGAATGGTGAACAACGGAACAACCTGAACCATTGAGTAGACGACCCCATCAATTCTTAGTTAGACAATTTAAGTTCGGTCCTCGTAGGTGTCTTTCATAGGACATTCAGTCCCTTTCTGGAATGAGCAAATGGTTCTCAGACTGTCAATCGATGCATGCCATCCTTTTAGCGACACTAATGTTGGGCACTGTCTTTTCATGAAACGGATCAAATAACAAAAGGCGCTATGCTTTTCGATAACTGGTTAGCAGAAGACCGAAACGGATCCCTTCGTTTCTCGGAAAACGATTTTCCAGTTATTGGGTTTCGGTCTCATTGACCGCTGAATTCAACTACCGCCTACGTTTCGTTGGTCGCCTGTGATGTTCACGTGATTTGTTAGTCGTGAGTGACGTCCCAGACTGTCGATCATCTCCACTGGATCAACCACCACCAGCTTGTCACGCGAGGAAAATGTGACAACGGAATGCACTGGAATGTCTTTAAGGCAATGCCGAACACACATGATTAGTTAGTTTAGCCTGTTCCAGGTGTTCATTACTTTAGTGTTGTGTATAATTCCTAAGAAAACCGAAGTGGAACGTGAAACGCCACTTTCTCCCAGGCTATGTTACTGTATATTTTCCCTTTGCGTCGGACGATCTCGCTAGATCCACAAGGTTTGCAAAGCTGCTTGACCTTTAATCGCCTGGTTTGACTCGTCTTGGAATCAATTTTTCTTATCAGCAATCCAAGATATAAACTCCGACTGGGTCGTTTCAACTTTGGTAGGTATCCGTTCGGCAGGAGGTCGGTGCTGCCCGACAGTTACTGGACTTGGGAGCAGGGCAGCGACGGCAGCTAGACTGATTCGAGTGTAAGTGAACTACATTTAACTTAATGCATAATGCAGATAGAAAACACAAAGACGGATGGAATATTTGAGAAGTCAACTGGAGCCACACAATCTATCCTGGGACGAGCAGTTGATCTCACAAATCGGTTCTTCAAATCACTTCCCGCAGTATGAACAGTTCTGAACCCAGTTCCAGTAATCCTCAACATAGAGGAAAGTGTTTCGTTTTCTCTGATTGGCTGATATGAACCCTTAAGGTGACCAGTAGTTGGTCGCGACGTGTAGGGCATAAAAAAGAATGAAATTTGTCCTAAATTTCGATGCATGGATACGATACAATCCGGTTCTCTGATTCGGATTTGAAGAGATGAATACACCTGAGAAGTATGAACGTGGATTTCATAGTCCACCAGCCAATGGTGGCTACCTGTATAACCCGCGCGTCTTCTAGCAGGTATTGGACAATCCATGATAGCCAATGCACGTCCGGCGACGCATTTTAGTTACAATGATTCAGTCCAGATTCTTACCCGCAGACGAGACTGATCGGGTGTTTTGTATGACCTACCACGATTGCTGATAAGTTCCCTTAGACAACCCTCCAAGGTCACTCATCTTTCATGTGTCTTCGAGCGGCGTTCGCAGCTCTTTATAGGCAGCCACCTGGCCAAACCAACGCCCTCCAGACTTAGCCACTCATTCGTCATCGTGTGATTCATGTAATATTCGTGGTTTGGTCACATCCACTCCCTATCTCTCTGAAGTAAGCAGATCCTCAAATCATAACCTACACATGTGTTCGGTTATACCTGGTTTTGTGAAGGACACCACGGGAAAAGAAGACTGCACGTCTCCTGGCTGTAAGCGAACACCATCCCGAACTATCCCTCTTTTTGGAGGATGGATGCATCCAGGTTATGGTAGTTTAAGAGTGATTTACTTCGTTCGAAATGGCATATACCGCTTCCATGTTTGCACAGTAGCCAAAACAGCCCGTCGTTTCATTTTCCTTCATCACTAATGCATTTTGCTTCCGGTTTATTTGGAAAATGTAACTTTACAGTGGCGCTCCGCAGGATTCCCGTTCACTGTGGTGCTGATGCAACTGGATCGCTGTCACGAACAATACGGTCGCTAGTGAACGACGCACTAACCTCCACATTTTTGACAGTTTCGAAGGCTGTACGAATCCTCGTCAAGCGATTGAATGCACTTAGGTTTTCGTGGACTGTGGATATCATGCCACCGACGTGAAGCTTGAAATACCTTATAAAATGTATCGATATGGGTAGATCACACGCGAACTGTCTATTAACAGTACATGGTGTACCTCATTTATGTTCCTATTCATGCTCACTAACTCACCCTTCGATTGTACACAGATTCGTTACTCAAAGTCATCCGTGGGGCACACCTGTTTATCTGATACTCCCTCGGGATAACTTGCTCCGGGGATCCACAACCCTGTTTGTTTTTTCTCATAAAAAATAATTATCCGAAGCAAGGAGACAAGAAATTGCCGTTTCCCCTCCGTCCGAAATAATTGGCTATTCTGGAGTTTTCATTCACAGTTTCCGTTTATTTCCCTAGTTCAGCAGTCCCCTTGCCATAATCGCCTTTTTTTACTGAAAGATCAGTTAATTGTGGCTCAACAGAGACTGTCTTTTCCATTCTGGATAACTATCTTGAGACGAGTGCCCATAATCTTTTACTAACTACCTACGATATTGATCGTGGCCACATATTTCTCTAGCGCGCCAGTTTACATTAATCACCTGTTTCGCCATGAGCCGTGGTATGTGTGTGTGCGCGCACACACCAGTAAACTGGCACAGGTACGCCTATAGAACTTTGTAAATCATCTGTAGCCTGAACACGTGATCGTGGGATCACGCAACCCTCGTAGTGTATGAAAGCAATTCTTACATGCCGCTTGACTCAGCTTGACTCTTCAGCATCGACCCAGTGGCAATCTTTGTTCCGTGAATGTGGAGAAAGCATTTTCTGCAAGCCATATCTGCGTTATGGCCGCTTGCTGCCCACTGTGTTAAACGGTACCATACTGGAATTGCAGCTTTATGTAACTCTCGATTGGGGTAAGCGCAGTGTTATGCTCCGACCTTCCGATCGCTCTTCAAGCCCCCAACCATAAGTACTTCACACTATGGCTGTTCCCATGACGGAAGATGGTGCTTTACTGAGTTTGTTTCTTTCGGCTGTATCTAGCATTCTTGTAGCTTGGTTAATCCGGTCCGGCTTTCTACCCGTCGTTTACATTCCATTTAACTATCATGAATAGGTGGGCTTAACCAGCGTTTTGAAAAGTACGAAACATTGTTTTTTTCGGTCTCATTGATGGTAATGCAAAGCCAGACCCATTCTGCGGCTATGAGACGTGAGCTATGTGGTAGAAGATCTGAGGTGTCTTGAAGTCGCTGAGCTCGTAAAATAAGGGTTCGATACTGCGTCCACCAGGGGCGATAACTCCAGGACCTGTTGACACAACACGCAATCTATAAGGTTGTTGAAAAATTATTCGCGCCTACCAGGTATGTACAATATCTGACTACGTCAACACCTGATGGCACTATATTTGTGCAGTACATTCAGTTGAAGGATAACACAAACGATAGGGTCAAATGAGATTCGATTGAGTGTACTGCTCGCAGCGACTTACTTTGCAAATGAATGGGACCCACACATTTGGACTTTGCCAGTAGCCATCTCAGCATGTAATGGTGGAGCTGCATTTTTGGTATATATATATATATATAACGGTTGAATAATTTTCTTACTCCTTACAGGTACTGTGTAAAGACTTTCAGCGGCCACGCTGAGTGGATTCGTGCCGTGCGACCAAGTCCCGAAGGAAACCTTCTTGCTAGTTGTTCCAATGATCAAACAATTCGAATATGGTCAGTAGAGACTCGAGAATGTCAAATGGTTTTACGTGGCCACGAGCATGTGGTTGAGTGCATCGCTTGGGTAACGCATCCGAACAGCGTGCAGGCTATCACAAACCCCAATGCACCCGCCACATCTTCCCAGAATGTTGACAATGCAAACGCGGCGGTGATTCACAATGGGCCGTCTGCCACCGGAGACACTGTACCACTGCCGGCCAGCACATCGACGGTCTTCCTTGCCTCTGGTTCCCGAGATCGTTCCATCCGTATGTGGGATATAAACACGGGAATGTGTCTGTTCGAACTGATAGGACACGATAACTGGGTCCGTCAGTTGGTTTTCCATCCCCAAGGGCGACTTCTGTTGTCTGCTTCCGATGATAAAACCGTACGTGTCTGGGACCTGAAGAATCGGCGCTGTCAAAAAACCCTCGAGGCCCATTCTCATTTCGTAACCACACTTGGTAAGTATGATTCAGAGTTGTCTTCAACTTGAGTGACGTGGTTGGATGGCTATGAGTTGCTGGTGTTTGAGCACTTGTGTTGTTGTCAATAATGACGAATCTGGTAAGAATCTTCCGATAACTGTGGGCGGTTTTTAATGGCGCTGAAGGCTGTTTCCTGTTGCATTAGTATCACCGAAGAAAACTGAATCAATACTCTTAGCAACTTTTGTTCTCTTTGACATCACTCTCAACCGAGTGGCCTATATGGTGTAATTCGTACTCATATTCATAACCGCGGGGCAAAATATCTGTGCCAGTCTTAGCTGTTTCAAACAAGCGTTTGGTACATACATAAACTACGTTGGTACCTTGTGCGACTGAAGGCTGTCAGCCTAGCACATGTCAACTGGTGGTAGCAGTCGTAGGGGCCCATGTTGATGCTCACAAGCAGCATACATAGAAATAGTGATTTTGCATATTGAAATGGATTTTTAGATTCCGCTCCTTCGCCGCTATGCCCTAGCAGATAAAACCACCACATCGACCTCTTAATTGCTGTGAATTTGCCACTATGTTTGCAATGTCTATGTTTCGGTCAGTATGCATTTTTCAGCATATGAGTGTTCACGGATCGATGGTGTGTGGGTTCGAAATGCATTCGTGCCACTCAATTTTTTACTAGTGGAGACGCTCTCAAATGCTGATCAGGTACCATGTGGGCTATCCGTATCCTGATTGCCCCATCAACACAAATTCGACTGAAGGCTGTCAGCCTAGCACATGTCAACTGGTGGTAGCAGTCGTAGGGGCCCATGTTGATGCTCACAAGCAGCATACATAGAAATAGTGATTTTGCATATTGAAATGGATTTTTAGATTCCGCTCCTTCGCCGCTATGCCCTAGCAGATAAAACCACCACATCGACCTCTTAATTGCTGTGAATTTGCCACTATGTTTGCAATGTCTATGTTTCGGTCAGTATGCATTTTTCAGCATATGAGTGTTCACGGATCGATGGTGTGTGAGTTCGACAATGCATTCGTGCCACTCAATTTTTTTTACTAGTGGAGACGCTCTCAAATGCTGATCAGGTACCATGTGGGCTATCCGTATCCTGATTGCCCATCACACACAAATTCCTGGCCTAGCTATCAGGATCGGTAGATTTCTAGAGTCATTCAGAATGGTAACCCGTCACTCGTATACATCTACGGTTCGCTTGAAGTATCTGTCTCTCCCACGCGCGTGCCCTTCACTTTTGTTGGCCCCCAGTCTGTCGGTCTTAGGTAGTTTCTATTTGGCAGCAATGGTAGTCATCGTTTCAGGGTTATGATATGTTATGTTGCCCAAATAACCCCCCTCGCTCTCTTTCGGGATATTTGAAACCGAAACTCATCTGAGCGGTGATGGTGTTACGAATAGGTTCCGACGCTTAACTGGTTTTGACCCTTGGATGTCGAGGATCAAGGTGATCCTTGCACTAACAAGCATCTAGGATATGTTTTGATTTGTTCCCAGCCAGTTCCAGATGGCTCGTCAGATTTTCTTGGCGAGATTCCTTAAGGTATGACTGAGCGCATTTAATGGGTGAATCAAAGATTCTAAACGACTCACCAGAAATTTCGGTGAAGACTTCTCTATCCCTGCTTACGGGATCGACGTCTATGAGCGTTACTTCATTTGCAGTGAAAATTGCAAAAACAAACAGCCAACTCATTCTTTCACATTCCCCTGCTCAGTTTGCCTGGCTAATTACTCCAAAAGTTAGCTCTCTTTTACTCACCTACTCCAATTTTTGATCAATACTTTTTAGCTTGCTTGCCGGTAGCTTGTATGCTCCAGTGCGTGTGTATTTATGCGCACGTATGGATTGCTGACCGTTCTTTTCACTGTGTAGTTGATCAATAGGGCGCTTGACCCTGATGTCCGCTTTGCTTTTACGGCGCTCCAGTTCTTTTGCTGAATTAAAAACGTAGACTTGCTGCTCGATGCGTATCGTTTGACAGCACACTTCCTGACTTTGTACGGACCCGTTGTTCCTACACCCCGGCCTTGCTTTTTCGTCAATTTCACATGGATCGATTCAACTATTGTTCAGTACTTAGTCCTCTCCACACTGGCTTGATAGCAATATTGCCGCGTTCCTCCGAGCACGATGTTCATCATGTGAAACCTCACAGGGATGGACAGCGTCTTTTATGGGCCAGTCATCATATGACCATGGTCATGCCTCCCATATCCGTGGATTTTGTTATTGTAGATCCTTGGTTTCTACCACTTTGATCGGCCACCTGTGGTTTGAACGACTTCGAATTCGAAGCTGGAAGAAATTGGCGCCAGTACAAAAATGGCTTTTGTGGGAAAATCGGCACACTTATACACGTACATTTCTGCCATACAGGGATAGATAATTTTTTCATCATCATCCGTGGGAGGGGGTTGGGGAGGGACATCGGTGGACGCTGAACTGCGCGGGCGAATGGTACTTTCCGGTTGCCCAGGCCGAGGAAGGGGTTTGGTTGAGGTACCCCACCTTGAGCCTCCGACTCAAAAGTCTGACCCACGAGGCAGTGGGTGAATGTAGGGTTTTCTTTTGGGACCCTTCCCGGAGCCGACGACTCAACAGTCTGACCTGCTCGGCTGCAGGGGGTCGGCCTAACCCTAGGGCGCAGGGAATAAGGCATTACTGTCTCATTCCTAATGCGGCTGCGCACAGCCAGGTGCCTTTTGAGCAGCACCGGGCTCTTTGGTTTTAAAAGTATTTCGTCGTATTGGATAATGCGCCGGCGGTCACGGTCAACCGTTGGGCAATCGGAGTGTGCGGTTTTTCGGACCGACCTTTTCGAACTCGTCCTTCCTGTGGGAAGGCAGCATCGCTGCTTCTATAAATATGGACATGTCTTGGGGGGAATTAGTTCTACTTCTGGTAACCAGCGGTGCAGTTTATGATTTTATTGATTTCAGAATGAATAAGCGAAAGTAACTGGTAGCAGTCAACGTCAAGTTTCATAAAAAGTAAAATAAATTCAACCTTTTCATCATCAATTCTCCTGATGATATACTTGAATGTGTGATTCATTCGACAATAGCGTTTCCGTACATCCTTGTTAGACTGCCACTCTTGTCCGCGTTCGTTTTCGGACCAATGATCGACTCTGGGTTACCTAGCGTACCGATTTAGCAAACACCCTCGTTGAACAGAACGAACAACACCGTTTCGAAAAATCAACTCATTCAGCTGTGAACTGGGTGATCTCCAGGGCAGCTAAACGCCAAAGTTGTTTTATTGATATTTCCTCCAAACTCTCACTTGAATCCGTTTTTCGCCCTCGGGATATAACCAGCCCGCGCAACTTGCACTCCATGACGACATGCGCCGAGGTACCACAGTTCATACAGATAATAACAGCATCCTCAGACCATCATTTTTGCTGCTGCTATGATCACATACTACTTCCCTCATGGCGAGTAGCATAAACTCACTGTTCTGGCTGAGATCTTGGTGTTGCTTACGGGCTCATTGTCCCTTTTGTTTGCATAACAACTCTGTTGGAACATGGTATCAGAGTCGTCGTGTCCTATGAACAATAGATGCTCACAGTCGATTAGTTCAATTTGCAGCCGTGTTCTTGCGCACGATAGTTCGGAATACCGCAGTAGTTTGTGATGGAGAGTGATAACACCATGTTGATGAGTACTTCCAACAATTGATGGAGTGGGTATCTGATAAATGAGATTGTCAGACATGGATTGGTGCAGTCAAAATCCAATTTTATGTCTTTCATGCCCTTTTTGGTTGAGACCCACTTGAACAAACGGTATGGTGAGACAATCGTTCACTTAGCCAGATCCTCCTTGAGTGCCAGTTAACCATACTTCTGATCACCAAATGACGGGGTGTAGGCTGCTCAACTGTTATCCAGAAAAGCGTGAATCCATACTCCCTTGCGTTGCTATTCATGCTTACTGAAGATGAGATGACTGTTAACATTTCTTAGCTTTTCAACACAGTTTGATTGACAGGGAAGAATCAGCGTGTTGCATCTGTTTGTATTCGACTCGAAGTTTGTGTGTAATCAAGCTGTGACCGTGGTAATTCAGCTTACATAATCGATTCTTTGGAGACTGGTAATTCTTAACCTACAATCTACGAAACTGCCATACCACCTAATTGTTGGGTGAGTTGTAGACACCCACGGATGGTTCAAAGCCGATACTGCCTCTCTTTTGAACTGCCTACATACAATGGAGTGATTATGCATTGCTTGGTGCTTGTCATTCTCAGAGAAGCGTCTTGCTTCCAGCCAGCTTCTCATTGCGTTGCACATTCTTCTCTTGGCTACTGTGATGCTAAAATATCGTGCAGCTGTTGAACCCTTTCGGCACATACCATCTCACCAGAAGGAAGCATAGGGGCTGGGATACTACCATATTGCCCATGTGTAGACAGGGAAGTCGAGAAGCAGAGGTCGGGTTCGAATCACGGGCCTTCCGGTCAATAAATTCGCGCTCTAACCACGGAGCCATCTCATATGTGGTTCATATCACACTTGGTTGTACTCGTTAGCAGAACTACGGACGCACGCCTTCCAGCTCGCATTTCTCCCAAGAAGATACTCACTTTTGAGGTTCCCGATACGGACACTTGAGTGACGCGTGTGTTCGTCATTCCTGAATATCAAAAATAAAAATTGGGTTTGAGATTCTTCGGTACTACTTACACAAGTGTAAACATATACAGTAAACCTCAATCGTCTACGTTCGTAAAATCAACAAGTGCACAAGTCTGTCATTGGCCGGTGCATTACATTATCAACGCCAGCACGCCAAACAACAGTGAGCAGAATGTTGGCTCAGTAGTGTGGGTCGCGGTCGTCCCTTCCGACAACAGTCTCGTCATTCCCGTTGGCGGTGCGATCATACGGAACTCAGGAGGAAAGGAGGAAAGGAAAGGAGGAGGCAGGCTCAGCATACGGGACAAGAGTGTGTATGGGTGAGTAGGTCAGCAGCGCACATT